CTCTTCCTCTTTTGATTAAGTTCAGGTCCTCAGTCAGCTATAGTCTCCCATGGTACATCACAGCTGAGGGTCCACTAAATGCAGTATGTTTTGCCCAGCAAATAGGAAGACTGGAACAGAAATCTTGAGCATCCTTAAAAGGAAAAATAAAGTAAGAAAACATTTTTAAATCCAGCTTGTAACTTTTCCTAGTTAAAATTCCAGGGCAGTTTACAACAAAACCCTCTTTTATATTTTTAAAGAAAAAACTGCGTTCTCCTGACATCTTTTTTTCACTAAACTTTGTTCATCAAGTTCACCTAACATTAAAAAAAAAAGAAAATTCTGTGAATTGCTTAGCCTGATTTCCATATATCTTGTCTAAGGAAAGACAGCTCATTTGCATGCTGCTCTTGTTTTGCATTCTGCTCTGTTGCTACAAACCCTTGAATAATACCACAGGCTGCCTGTTCTTTGTCTTGTTGAAGTTCAAACCATTGCCTTTCTTGAGGATTGTCAGACCTAACAAGGGTTAAAGCATAATTTCAGTAATATGCAGCTTTGTATATTCAAAACTTGTATGTAATGGGAAATGCTTTTCTTTATTAATTAGGCCAGCAATGGGGAAAGAGCTGGTGGGAAAGATTTGCACTGCTGCTCATCTCAGAGATTCAGATGACTTCTCTGGACAAATTGTTACCCAGAATGACCTTAATACATGGCAGTAATGTGAGATGTTTTTGCATTCAAAGCAGAATACAGGACAACATGACTAATTGTCTTAGTAGAGTGGCATAAAGCTCATCGTAAAGTAATTATTCCCTTGTACACCAGGGAACAGTGAGTCTTTGCAAAATCAGATGCAAAACCCAACCCTTTTTCTTATATGAAAAAATTAAGGCAATGCAATAGACCTTAATTCATTTGTGCTGCACTTCCTGGGAAATCTTTCTATATCCTGCTTGTGTGTGGAGATTTGAACAGCACGTTCTGTTTTCATAACTTTCTGCCAAACCATAATAATATCAACTGGCAGTACAGGTATTTGGCCCTCAGTACCCTGATGTATTGTAAATATGTTATTTTTATATAAATAGATTTGTCACCCTACAAATGAAATTAGCATCTGATCCTGATTTTGGATAGCAAGTTTAAATTGAGAAGGTAATTTTATCTTGTTTGTTAGAGAATAAAAGAGCCCAGCATGTTGTCTGCAGTGTGGAACAGCAGAACCCCAGTAGGTTTTGGAGTTTTCTTTGCAGAAACCATAACCATCCTGGTCCCTGGAAAACACCAAATCCGTTCCAAATTTGAGAATTGTAGATTATTCTTGTGTTAGTAATTCAGTTTTTAAAAAATAGGATATTAAACAATGCAGGTTGAATGTTTACCTCACTGAGAAGCAAATTTTCAGTAGAGAAAGCAAACAAGTTAGTCTTATTTTTTTCCTAATTGTTCTCAATGCTAATTACAAGCCTGTTTCCAATATTAAGTTGGGGCTTGATTGCCATGACACCAGTGATTATTTTTATGGTTTTAGAACATGAAACAGAAAAAAAATATAGAAGAGGCAGAACTCCTGGTGGAAAGCTTGGGATGAGAAATGGTGGACCCTCTAGATGGGGCTAGGAAGTCACCTGTAAAATAACAGCTCCTGGTGTTCAGTTTTTGTCCCAGGCTGCTGTGCCTCTTGTACAGCTTTGTCTGACCTTCCACTTCCACTGGCTGCTGTAAGGTCAGACATGCTCTCCAGCACTGTCAGGTTCAATAGTGGTTTCCTCCCTCATGTAATCAGTTAGATGCTAAGATATTGCTAGTGGTTTGGTCTGCATAATCAATCTTCACTGCTAAATGACAGTGTTTTCAAGTAAACCAGAAGACTGTTGGGTTTTCCCTTCCTCTTCCTCTTTCCTTTTCCATTTTGTTCCTTTAATTCTTTTTGCAAGATGTAAAGCAAGGCAGATCCTTCTCCACCGTGATGTTATGTGTGAACTCCCCTTTGCTTTGTTTACAGCAGGTGTCAAAACTCGTTTTTGGTTGCTTAATCCCACCTCATCAAAATGGGATTGATTGCTGCTTAGAAGCATCACTTATAAGGTGATGCTTACAAATCTCTTTATGTTGACATACCTGTGGGCAGTGACTGTTTCATCTTATCCAAAACCACAGTTTCACTGCTGCCCACTCCTCCCTGTTTGTTAGATTGATAGTCGTATATTGGGAATTTCTGTATTGTGTATGTTCAAAATTGCATGGAAGAAGGATGTTCTTTGTGGTGTTTGCACCATGCGTTAAAATAAATTGTTTGAATCCTTGCCTAAACTACCATGTGCCCCTACCTTAAAAATGGTTGGCATTTAGATGATAGAAATCCCCTAGCTGTTTTCAGCCTGACTGCTATCCTTGACAGAAGTTATAAATATTGTAGGTGGTTTGAGTACTCCAATGCACAGAACTTGTTTGTAGCTGACTCATAAACACTGCAGCAGCAGATGTGCTGGAATATTATTAAAGAAATGGATTGGAGAACCAGCGAAACAAGAAACTGTGAGTCATGTATGGTTCATTTAAAAAGTGATCACCCATCAAGCCTTGTCTTACTGGACCTGATGTTACTTTGAAAATCAGAATAATCCATTTCTTAACTCCAAGTTCGGTGTTAAAGTTGGTCTGAGAAATGTTCTACCTTCCACTAGAAGTTTCAGATTTTGCTTGCTGGTTTTAATATTCATCTGTATCATTCCTTAGCTGCCTCTGTTTCATCTAAAGTAAGAGGTGATTAACAACATACCTTTAGAAGGATGTGGCTAATTTTCTTATCTTCGTAAGCTAAAGTAAGAGGTGATTAACAACATACGTTTAGAAGAATGTGGCTAATTTTCTTATCTTCGTAACGCTTTATGAGAGAATATTCCTTTGATTTGCTAAGAGAGGTTGTAAAGTTGAGGACCTTAATTCTAAATTTAAATTGAGGCTGCAAGAATTTCTGATCCACGGGCTCCCTCTCCTGGCCTGGGAGGTGCTTAGCACCAGGAGCTCGGTTAACGCAGAAGGTAGGTGGAAGTTATTTGCAATTTGATTTAGTGACATAGTGTCGACGGTGTCTCCTAACTTCTTCTGTGTTTAATGACAGAATTGTGCTCTCTCTAATAGCAATAATGAAATGTCTTTTGTGATGAATCAGGGTTGCAGGGCTAGGTTTATCTTATTCAAGTACCAATTAAGATATATCACAAGGACTGAAAGCAATGTGCTACAAACCATATTTACAAATAAAATCAGTGAATTAGCACATCCAAATAACTACAGAACATATACTCAATAATTGCACTGGCACTGTCATCTTTGTGTCTGTCACACCTTGGTGCTCTGCTTTCCCCTCCTACTGATGATGCTGCATCTAAGTTGTACTGTCTATTATATTTGGTAGTGAAGAAAAAAATCTTTGTATTAATATTCTTAGATTAGAAGCACATTAGTATTGTAAATTGCTTAACAAATTTGAGTCTCTGTACTCATAAAACACACCTTGTAGGTAAAAATTGTATCTATTTTAGAGTTTGCTTGCTTTTGCCTGAAGTTTTTAAGCCCATTTCTGAATTTTACAAAATAAATTTCTAGCAGAGTTCAAGAGATTTTCTTTTTGTGTGTGTGTTCTACCTTCCCAGTCTCGTTTCTAAGAATTTTTTTAAGCTTGAATTTATTGACAGGAACATAGCTTAAGAAGTGCACCAAGTGTTCTGGACTGGTCCTTCCTTTGAAGCTGTTAATGCATATGTATATTTCAGCAAACACAATTTTAAAAATCTCTTCAGCCCCAAAAGATTGGGAATAGATGCTCCTATTTGCAATTTTGGACCAAAGATTTTCCCACTAACTTTTGGCTTGCTTTATGCTGGTGTAAGTGACCAGAGAATGTCACAGTGACTCAAGCTTTGCAGGTCCAAAAGATTTATTCAGAAGATCTGCAGTGCAGATAGGGGCAAGGCTGGGAGGGGCTTTTGTACACTGATGACAATGCAGAACAGGCACCAGACTAATGGGAATTGCTTTCTCTTTAGAATATCAGCCCTTTATTCTAGGGCTGAGCTGATAATAAATATTCATGAGTCCTTATCATTTTCATTTGTGTTAGAAATTGTGTTAGAAATCAAGTGTAAATTTGACAAGAAAAATCCTACTAGTGAAATACCAAATTCCACAACTCATTCAGAAATGTATTTCTAGAGCTGCTAATTTAGGTGTTCCTCTTTGGCTTTACTTAAAGGAAGTGTTGACAGTTACGTGTTACAAAACAAAACCAAGTTTGGGAGAACTAATTACAGCAGTTCTCTCAATTTACTTACTATTTGTGCCAAACACATGGAGAGTGAGCTTTTCATGTGAACAGGAATATAAGACACGTGAGAAGTGTTAAATACTTTGCTGCTGTAAGTTGGTCTGGTTTACATTACAAAATGGACAGTTGAAGTGAATAGAAACAAAGCATAATGCATGAATAACATAATTATATCTCCTAAGAAGTTACTCTCTTTGTGTATACTGCAGCCACTTAAAAATGATAACTCTGCTCTGCATTCTTGTTCATGCCACACTCTTGATTATCCTCTTCACCATCTGTGTAAATCTTCTATCCTAGAGTCCATTAGTTATCTGTTCATCTTATTTAGGTTTATATGGATTGACATGATTTCTGAGCTAGATTATCCAGCCTCTGTAATACCAGGGCTCTGACATAGCTTGATCCTAGTCATAGGAAGGAGCTTTAAATTCTGTTGGTTAAATAGGCAACCTGACAGGAGCACAGCACTGTTACCTGCTTTACGGACTCCACTGGTACCTTGAAACTGTTGTTATCATTTAACTTTTTGTGCCTTTGTCCCCCAGTTATGAAGCCTATTTAAAGTTTAGATTGTAAGGTACATTGTGCTTACAATGAGGAGTAGCTTTCTACAGTGCAATGACTTGTTAAGTCTTTTCCATTAAAGCAATATGTGTTTTTTTTCTTTTTTCATGCACAGGTACTTGGAACACCAAATGAAGATACGTGGCCTGGAGTCCACTCCTTACCCCATTTCAAACCAGGTAGGTTGAAGTATGAAGTTCATCCCAATTCCCTCCCTGGAAAAAGAACAGAGATAATTACATCCCTGCCCACAAGTTTCAAAATAACCTCGTATGCAGTGCACATAATGCCCTTCTTCTACCTGCTTAGTTTTTATTGTGCTCAGAGTGGGGGAGGGGGGGTTCTTTTAATTTCTTTGCCTTCTTTTGCATTTTCTCCTATTTATTACAGTAGGAGCCCTGACCTGCTTGCATTCCTCAGCCACTGAATATCCTACCTTTCATATTACTAGTAGGCTGATTCCTAGTTAGTATTACTTTCCCATAGAGCACACCGAACTTTGATGAATACTAAATAAAACTAAAGAGTAAAGATGTAAAAGCTGAAGTTACTACTAGATCATCTGTTAGTAGTTTTCTACAAAGGTTCTGTTTTTATATGTGTTGTATTTAAAGTTGTCGTATTCTTCAACCGTCCCTGAAAAGCTGCTTCACCATCTGATACCTTTTTGTGAGAGGGAGAAGTTTGTTCCCTAGAGACTAGAAAGATGTCTTCAGCTTTATTATGCTATATATTTATGCAGAGTCTTGTGAACTTCTGAGTGGGGATCTTGGAAAAAAGTTTTTTAAACACGGCAAAGCCGGAGAATGAGTAGGAGATGTGTAGGCTGGTGGGGGTGGTAAAATACTGGAACTGGTTGTCAAGAGGAGTTTGACATCTCCATCTTGTCCAAAACCTTGTGGGATAGTGGCCTGAGCAGCCTGAATTTGTTGGTCCAGCTGTGAGTGGGTTTGGACTAGACGGTAAAGAGAAGGTTATTAGATACTTTCAGATGAAGGACTTATCTTAGCAAACTGTACTGTGAACTAATAAAATGTTTCATTTATAACCACATGACTGACATCTGGAAGTAACAGAAATTAACCAAGGAATCCAATTTGAGGTATTTTTGTCCTTGTAGGCCTATGGTCTCTCAGTAAACTCCTGGTTCTCTTTTTCTGCAGTGATAGTCCCTTCAGCTTTTGTGATAAGCTCTGACAATCTATGTCATTTCAATCTAATTTCCAAGTCATCTTATAGGTTGGCCAGAAAGAAGAAGATTCCATTTTCATTTCAGCCTGTCTTATGCATCAGATCTGCAGAATCATAGTAGGTTCTTCAAGGCAGCAAAGAGGCAGGAGATGGGACAGAGGAGCTGTAAAGGACAAGTAGATCTAGGTAGCTCTCAAAATAGAGAGAGAGGAGCAAATATATTGCCCTGATAGAGCCAAAACCTCAGGGAACAGGAATGCAGACAGCTTTCTTGCATTTCTCTGTCTGAGTGCTGACTTCTAGCAGTATAGTGAAATCCCACCCTAGTGCTCTCTAGTGAATTAGTAGAAACCTCTTTAACAAGCACAGATTTTCACTGAAATAGTAAAATTACTAGTGTTCTTTCCTAAAACAGTGTCATTAAATTTACAAGCTTTTGTCTTTCTCATTCTTAGTACTGATTTAAAGGTAAGCATATATACGGAATCCTTACAGAAATATAGTGGTCTGTAACAGCAGTCCAAAGACATTGGTTTTAGCAAGAATAGTAAGGAAGAGGAGAAAACCTGAAGATGTCAGTGAGTGCTCTTTGGGTTGGTTGGTTTTTATCCTTCTGTGTGATACAGGAAAGTTTTGAACAGTAGATGGCAGCCAAGAAATTTCCTGGTTTCATTTTTCGGTTTGTCTTCGAAGTGTGCTAAGGGATGTGGGTTTATTACCACAGAAGAACATCAGGAAATAAATCCACTGTAGGCAATTCATTAAATCTAAATTTTAGACAGGCATTGTGTTAGACTTGCTCTTATTTTCTCCATCCCAGACTATGGATTTTGTCAGCTATGAATACATAATATTTATACAAATGCAGAATGGGGACAGGAGGAAAGATGCCTCCAAGACAGAAAATGGTCATTCAGTATTTTCACCATTTCTGCCCGGTGTGGTCTTTGTTCTCTCAGATCCTTTCCACATCTGTGAAATATGTAGATTTGTAAGTCAGAGTAATTATTATTCTCACTGGCAATTATTTAATTTTTCTAGGGCCTGTTAATGCAAAGCTCTGAGCTCTTTAATTCCCTTACACTGTGGAGGTCTGAGAGCACTCCAAAAATAAAATCCCTGTTCTGTACACAGACTGTGTTCTTTGTACTATGCTATGTCCTTCATGACCTTGGTAAAAGGGTTTTTTTTGTTTGTTTGTTTTACAATTCCTTATTTGCTGATTTTAGAAATTACAGCAATAGAAAACATCACCTAACTGGAAAACCAAAACTGGCTTAAGTACCCCAAAACTGAGTAATTGGATTTTATGTTGGTAAAGTGTGGAATGGTTAGAGCAGCAAACACACCTCTGGGATGATGCTGGGGTACCAGCATCTAAGGTATGCTGTGCACAAAATGCTCTGACCTAGGGGCTAGGCTGGAATTAGTACTATTTGCTCATGCCATTAGGGTCGTTAGAGATGTTTGGTCATGGATACCAGGTTCTCTGTTGCTTCTTAAAAATATGCTTTCCTTCATGCCATTCTGTGCACAAAAGCTTTCTGGCTATGGCAAGGCTGCATTGTCCTGTTCCACAGATGCTCAACCAGCCATGGTCCCCTCCCTGGTCTGACTTTGTTGTTATACTCCAGCTTTCCTGTCTGGCTTCTTTGGAGCAAAAATGGAGGTTAAAGCTTTAATAGTACACTTAAGATGACTTAATCTTTTCCTTTTCTTAGCAGAAGAATGCAGGAAGGACCCTGAAATGTCTTGCCAAATCTGAACCAATTCCACTATTTAGGATTTATGAAATAACTATGTTTAAATATAGGTGATGTGGGGTTAAGTAACTCTTGTGCTGTGCATGTGTTTGTGAGCTTAAAGACTGATAGCTGCTAACAGTAAGTATGATAAATTGAGAAGTGCAGAGAGCACTGGTGATGAGGATATCAACATCCACTCAGGCAAGGCTTTGATGCTAGAAACTGAATTGTGTAAGCATAAAACAAAAGGATTTGAACAGAAAGTATCAGCGATAAATAGTTATTATGGTTTAAAAAATGCTGGGCACATTAAATGCCTGTGGAGTTGGAAAGGCTACCAATTTCATTGTATTTCTTGTTTGCATGCACACTTCAATAGCTAATTTTCATGCTGTGATGTGATAGGGCACAGTCTTGTGCTGTGGAGAGCTAATCACAGTTTACTAGGAGAAACATGTCTGAAAAACATGGCATTAGTCTCTTCTCTACTGGAGTGACCAAGGGCCTGATTATTATGGAAAGCAACCAGTGCATAAACAACAATGATCTCTGATATCTTAATATGTGGGAACATTTCTGAGCCTGAATAAGAAATGTGTTCCTAACACTAGCTGTGGGTGGCTCTACAGCATCTGAACTCCTAACCTCAGTGATTTTAACATATGTAACAGTGAAAATGAAATGGTCAGAGTTTTGTTTGCCATTTAAAAAGTTAGAAAACAATCTGTATTTTATCTGCCTGCTTGGAGATCTTTGATTACTCTCTATCTTCAAAATACTCCAATTAATATGGAAGATATTTAAAGCTAAAAGTTTGCCTGATCTTTAAGCTTTCTCTGCACCTCAGCCTTGATCCTCTCAGTTTGTGTTTGCACCCGTCACACAGACACACATGCAACACATGTCCTGCTTAGTAAATTACTTAAGGATAATCTAAACAATTAATTTGAAAGTTCTGCAATACTTCTGAAGTATTTCAATAACTTTAGGTTACCTCTGTGTTTTACTTTGAAGCTGTTATGGATGCTATAATCTTCAGAGGTTCTTTCTGTACTCAGGTATCACCAAAGAAACCCATCCCTTCTGGATCATTGTGAACGTAAATTATCTGCCCTTAAATAGGACGATGGTTTGAAGAAATTATGAAAAAGTGTCAATTACTTTTTTAATAAAATCTTGATGTTCCATCCAGATGAGAAGCCTCATGTTACAGGCTATTGGACAGGGACACCCTGACACAGCACTTGGAGAACATGTTTTCACTCTTTATTCTTTAGTTACAACCCCTTAAGAAATATGTAGATTTGCTGTGCTAAAACAGATCCAACCACCAATTGTATCACTGGACTCATGTCTCCAAGAATGAAATTAAAGTTGGCATTTGCTGTGTCTTCTCTGCATGAGTGGAGATGATACAGTATTCCGAAACAAGCTGCTTCCTTAGCAGTCTTGTGTCCAAGTCTTCCTGATGTTTGTGAGATTTTTCTTAGTCTGGAGTCTTACTGACTTTTTCTCTCCAGCCATTTCTCCTGGATTCAGAGTCCTGCCCAAATAATTGAGCAAGATAAGCCTTTGGATCAACATCCACACTTAAGTTTTCACTTTTCCTGCATTCTCAGTCAGTGCTGGGGACTGATGCTGTGTAACCTCCATCCTGGGAAGTTAAATAGAGATTTATCAGAAGGTACTGTCAGTGATTAAAGTGGGAGAAGGTAAGATATGGTCACAATAGAAGATAAATGAAGTGACCAAGTGGGAGAAGGTAAGATATGGTCACAGTACAAGATAAATGAAGTGACTGTGGCCATGAAGAGATGGTAATGGTCAAGGAAAAGAAGTAACTTGTTAGGAAGGTGGAGAAAATGTGAGAATGCTTTGTAATATTCACTGTGCATCAGTTTCCTTACAATACTGTTTCTAAGAGAAAGAAAGTTAAATATTTAATCTTGGGCTGGTGGTGTAGGACCCTGAACCTCACAATGTTTGACAGACAGTCAGATATAATAGAGAGTAATACACCTGAAAAAGTGCCTTTTTGAGACAATGGCAGCATCTGCTGAGTATTGGTTTTTACAAGAGAATCCCTAAAGTCATGATGAAAAGAGGTAAGAGAAAGAGTCTCTCCTTAAGGAGAAAAGAGAATAAGAAAAGAAACAGGAGAAAACAGCATTCATAGGAGATACTGGATATGACAGATTTTGCCAGAGACTGACGGGATTTATTAAAAAATCACAAGTCTTTGA